GAGAATGCAACAAGTCTTGATCATCATCATCGTCATCATCATCATCGTCATCATCATCATCATCGTCATCATCATCGTCATCATCATCATCAACGCTATCATCATCGTCATAACAATATCTAAAATTAGCCCCAAGGGGAATTACTTAGAGGTATCTTTTGCATTATCAATGTAAGTAACATGAAAAAATGAAAAAGAAATGTATGTATGTGTGTATGTTTGTATGTATATTTGTATATATGTGTGTATGTGTGTGTATGTATGTATGTGTGTGTGTGTGTTTGTACGTGTGTGTGTCTGTCTGATTGGTTTATTTATTTACTAAGTTGTTCAGCAAACCACGTTTCAACTATATACCAAAATGAAAAAAAGAATCAATAAACATCAAACACATCATAAGAAAGGCTTAATAAATAAAGTAACAAAATGAATGAATGAATGAATGAATGAATGAATGAATGAATGAATGAATAGAATGAATGAATGGATAGATTAGAATGGGTAAATGAATCATCACCATCATCATTATCACCATAGTCATTAATCACCAAAATTATTATCAACGTCGTCATCATAGCAATCGCCATCATCATCATTAATATTGCACCATCATCATCATCATCATCGTCATCATCATCATCGTCATCATCATCATCATCGTCATCACTGTTACGTAATCGCGTATCATCGATAACATTATCATCAGTATCTATACCCGTATCAACATTACCATCGCCATAATCACCACCACCATCCTCATCATCATCATCACCATCATCATCATCATCTTACCTAATTTCAGGCAGTGTCCAATACACCACTGCGGTGAGTTTTCAAACTCGAAAGTTCCCATGTAGTCAGGAAGCAAGCGTTTTTTATGCTGATCGGTATAGCAGCCCAGCGGCACACCCATCTGGGCTATTTAATTATCATAATTAATTAATTACTTAATCAATTAAGTAATTAATTATACAACTATGGTGATGTTGGTGATGATAGCGACGATGGCGATGATGATAAAAACGATAATGATGGCTGAGATATGATGATTGTTGTCATCATTATATACTGCTGTTTCTGCTACTACTAACACTACTACTACTACTACACCTACTACTACAACTACTACCACTACTGCTACCACTACTGCTACCGCTATTACTACCGCTACTACTACTAACAATAATAATAATAACAATAATATTAATCGATTTTTATTGAATTTTAATAGAGCTGCATAATGCTCCTTCACTTCTAAATTCATTTTTAAAGGTAAAATATTATTCTGTTATATTTTTAACTAAAAGTACAATTATTATTATAATTACAACTACATATAATTATATATATATATATATATATATATATGTAAATATTTATATATATAAATATTAGTTCATTCCACATAACAGTTATAAACTATTTCAAATATAGAATGTTATGCAATTATAAATAACTACAATATACAAACACACACACACACACACACACACACACACACACACACACACACACACACACACACACAAACATACATACATACATACAGATGTATATACACACACATACATACATACATACAAACATAGATACAAACATACGCACACACACATAGACATGTATACACACACACACATACCTACATACATACAAACACACACACAAACACAAACACATACATAACAAAATAAAAATATGGAAAAATAGCTTAAGATGTACAAGCTGGAAAAATTCTCTAAAATCTTTAAAATAAATATAAGATATATATACATAATAATAAAACAATAATAATAATAAAAACATAATTATAATAATAATAATAAGTACTCTTACAAGCAGCAGGGCAAGTTCTTTTAAGTACAACAGGAAACAGTAGGCCAGCCTGCTGATGTTTGCATGCAGTATTCAGTATCTTTTGTTTGCATTTATTTGTCTTGGCTCTCTTGAAGGCACTTAGAGTATCTTTGCTGTACTTTGTACATTTTAAAAATGGCGGCCGAGACGACGATCGAGATGATTGGGCTGTTGGAGATGTTTTTGACTTTAGTGTGACGTCATTGCTGTCGTATGCTGGAGGTGGTGGCAGTAAAGTGCTCCTGTTGAGATTTGGCTTTCCATTTCCAATTTTCTATGGTGTGAGGAAAAAATTTAGTTTTTTATAAACCATGATTTAATTAAATATAAAAAAGAAATTAATTTAATTTAAATGAAAATCATAAAGAAAGATAAAAGTTAAGAAATGTCACTGAAATTGACTGGTCGACACTAACGTAAATGTCAAAATCATTAACGACAACGGCCACCGATGCCTCGCCGCCAGCCAGACGATGTTTCTTGACGTTAGTGACGCTGCTGATTATGAACAGGGAATAAAGTTGCAGACACACGAAGAAAGCACATGCAACTATCACTGAGTATAAAATCTTCTTACAAGAAATCGCAAATAACTTTTTCATCATTTAAAACAACCAATCAATAAATTAAAATAATAAATAAATAAATAATTAAATGACTCAAAAAAAAAATTTGTCAGATCTTCAATCTGAAAATTTCGCGATTTTGAATTTTAAATTCACATCTTTTTTAAATGTCTTGCCTTTTTATTTACATTTATTTTAAATTTAAAAGTGAATTTAAGTTTTAACATTGTGTAACGTAGTGAAAACTATTTATTTGGCGCACTCAATTTGACAAATATTGTATTAAACAAATTTCTGTCATTCGCTAGTTTTTTCTGTCATATTATATGATATTAGATTTGTGTTGTACTTGTTTGGGTATATGTATGTACGCTTTTGTATATATAATATATATGTATGCATTGGTATGAATGTATGCACGTGTATGTATGTATGTTTGTTTTTATGTATATATGTATGTATGTATGTATGCATGATGTATATATACATATATAGCCTCTAGAAGAGGGTAGGCCAGGTAGAGGACCATTTGGCATGGGTTTCCGAATATAAGTGGCCTTAAAAACAAAAATAAAAGGGCCTTCAAAGATATTTTACGGCGACATCTTTTCCACTACAAGATTATTTTTTTAAATTTTAATATGAAAATCTCAAGCTGTACGGACAAATTTAAATTGAGCCAAACTTCAAAATGGTTCTTACAGGACTTGTGTAAGTGTATGTGTGTGTGCGTGTGTGTGTGTATATGTGTGCGTGTGTGTGTTACTACTAATATTATTAACAACAACAGCAACGACAGCAACAACATCAGTACAAATATTAATAATACCACACCACAATGCGTTTAATGTTGTCAATTCAATGAAATACAATTTATTTCATCACTTGACGCGATGATTTTTAAAGATTATGGATACGACATGACGCATTATTAAGAAAGTATTCATTCTCAAAGGATTAGTACTTCACGCGTTGGACTCACCATGAAAAAATCTGCACTGGCAAACACACATACATATGTTGTGTGTGTGTCGTTAGTATATCAAATTAAATAACATTATTTACAATTCTCAAAACAACAGACACGTGAATCAACCCATACGTCGGGTATGATAGTTCGGAGGCAGAAACTACAGTTCAACTTTAATTTTTAATATTTTTGATTTTTTTTCAATAAAAATGTTTTATTCACCAAAAATTTTTTGCAAAATAATTTATTGATCTAAGAGAAACCAAAATTTTGTAACAGACAAGCAAGACGATCTACGCTATTGAATTTCCTCTAGTTAATAATAGTAATTCAGTAATTGGAAATTTATATTTAGATGAGAGGGTCATTATTTTTTCTTCAATAATCAGTTTCCACCAATGAAAAAATGACGACCTCTTTGTTTCCTAAATCTTATTTTTTGCCTTCCAGACCCAAACACTACTCGTCTACTGGAACAAATGGCTGAGCCCGAAAGATGCCAAATAAGTTAAGAAACTGTCGAGGTTGCTACGTTTTGGTTTCCAATGAGAAAACTGATTATTTTAAAAAAATATTGACGGTAAATAAAAAAATTTTTTTTTGGTCCAAAAAATCGCCATCAATATTTTATCTTCCTGAATAACCAGTTGGTCCAGTAGCGCCAACTTGGCCATTGATTCCAAAAAACCCACGCATTCCGGTGAATCCGGTGACTCCCGTTGCTCCGGTCAATCCTGTCATTCCTCTTGCCCCGGCTTTTCCCTTGGGTCCGCGTTTTCCAGTGGTCCCAATGGGACCTGTTGAACCTGAAGGACCACGTGATCCTCTTGGTCCTGTTGGGGTGGTTTTGAATCAGGTACAACATTGAAAGAAATAACATCAGTAGAAAAATTATTGACTAATTAACAAAAATTAAATAAATAATGATATTAAATGTTGTAAATAGTCTTGATCGTTGAATTTTTTGTTAGAATAATTTTACATTTACAATTTCAGCTTAAATTTATTTTCATGTCTTGTTGGTTCAGTCAGTAGGATTGCCGTGTTTCGAGTTGTGGTTGTGTGCTGTTCTGGTTCGAATGCCGTCTCCTCAAAATTCGCAGGCTATTTATTAGACTCGTGCAAAGGATGCGGTTTTTGAGCCTACATAAAAAAATTGTGTGTACGTCGTGTGACGTGGATCTTACAGCATCCGCAGCGCAAAGGTTTAAATGCTAAAAAGAAGTTTTCAAATTTAAAAGGTTCCGCGCTTGTTAAGATAAGGAATGAAAAATTTATAAAATCGAAAGCGAAACTCATACCTATTTGTCCAGGGATTCCAGGAGTTCCAATAGGCCCTGGAGCTCCCGTGCTTCCCAACCGTCCCTTCGGTCCAGGTAATCCGGTAAATCCTGTATCCCCAAACATTCCTGTGGCCCCTGTGGCTCCCTTCTCACCTTTCACATACTCTGATTAAAAAAATAGTAGGGTGAACTTTTTAGCTGACTAAATGTTTCAATAAAATTTAATGAGTAAATAAAATTAGTTGAATAGATAGATAGATAAACTCAGATAAAATCAGCTCAGATCAAATTACGGTTTGAAGAAAGTTAAAATGAAAACAGCAAACA